TACAACACAATACAATACAATACAAAAATAGCAATATAAAATTAAAATTAATAATATAAAATAAATAAAAAATATAAACAATATAAAAGAAGTTATAAAAGAAAAGTTATAAAAGAAATGAAGTCGCCCTGGCTGATGAGTATGAGAAAGTCGGTGTGGGTTCCGAAGGAAGCCCTGTCATTCATTGGCTTCAAAAGCTGATGCTAGGGAGAATATGTTGAGAGTTAGGTACTCCGTGGTTTTTTGTGGAGGGGAGAATTGGAAATGAGGCTTCCCTAGGAAACCAAGCTTTGCAGCATCTGACTGTGGCATCCACCAGTAATCTCAGAGAGGGCTTTCTCTCTCAGCCCATTAATACTTTCAAGAACAGTACAATGTATCTTTGAATGTTACTGTGCCCTTGTAAGTTTCTTCTCTTTCCTTTTTCTATGGTGTTACTGTGGTTTTGCTTTTATTTTGTATTCTCAGCAGTGTTTAACTGATGTTTGGTTTTGTCAAAATTCTATAAACATCAAATAAAATTATAAATATAATTGTACTTCTCTAGTTCGTGCCAGCAAAGTGTGCGGCATTGAATATAATAAAGCTAGACACTGTATCCCAAAGAAATTAGGCAGTTTTATGGAGGATGTTCTGTCCCACAAATAATCAAATTGTTCAACCATAATGTAGCATAACCTTAAACTGCTTGTGCTATCTGGTATTTACATACTTGCCTCATCCATTTTTAAAAAATAATCTGTGTTAGATCTAATCCTTCTACATATCTCTGCCATTCAAGAAGCTTCAATCATTGTCTTCTGAGCCCCTTTCTCTGTCCTGTACTGTCAGACTTGTGTAATGGGGGTTCCCTAGAACTGATGGCTGGTGTAGTGCAGAAACCCTTAGTTAATTAGGTAGCATGGTGGGTGGCCTGAATTATTAGTATTATAACATTACATTTATACCCCAAGCGTGCATTTATACTTTAAGGAACTCATGGTAACTCACAAGGTTCTCCTCTTGTCCATTTTAGCTTCACAACAAGAACCCCATGAGGTAGGTGTGGCTGAGAGTCCATAACTGACCCAAAGAAATCCAATGAGCTTTGTGGCTGTCTGAGAACCAGAACCTGGATCTTTGGAGTCCCAGTCCAACTTTCTAACCACTATTCCACACTAGCAATCATTTGCCATCACAGTGGGAAACTAGAAATATTACTTCTACTACTACTACTACTACTACTACTACTACTATTATTATTATTATTATTATTATTAAGATTCTCAGTTTTAATTTCAGGTACCTACCTTAGCAAATGTAGTTTAAGGTTTAGACTGGTTACATTTTGCAATCTTCATGGTTGAGTCAAAGTTACAATTTAGAAAGTGTTATGTATTCATTAAATGACTACGCCACCCATTAGCAGGATGACTGTCTCGGGCTTACAGAATATAATGGGAACAACACACACAATAAAACATTAAATTACATTAGACATACATACCATAGGAATAAAAGAACAAGAAAACCTCACAACATCCACAGTGCAATTAAACCAAAGGCATAGTAGCTTTAAGATAGAACTAAATATCATATAAAATCTCTTTTAAATTACTTTATTATTAAAATATTAGGTAAATAAAAAGTTCTTTGCCTGGCACCAAAGGAGTAGAGAGAGGGCTCCAGGTGAACCTCTCTGTGGAGCTGGCTCCAGAGTCGGAGTGGCACCATCGAAAAGGCTCTTCTCCTCAGAGCCACTTGCTTTGTTTCTTTCAAGGGGGTTCTCTGAGAGGGACCTCAATTGGCAATCTTAGGGTTCAGGTAGGCACATATAAGAAGAGGTGTTCCTTTGAATAACCTGATCACAAGCTGTTCAAATCTTTAAATATTGATGTCAACACTTTGAATTGGGCCCGAATTGCAACTGGTAACCAATGCAGTTGATAGAGGACTGTTCGTACTGGCCAGTCCTCCTCAGCAGCCTCACTGAACCAATTGTAGTTTCCAGACCATCTTCAAAGGCCTTCAGGTTTGGAGATGTGCATCCACTGAAGACAGGGAACATGGAATTTATTTATTTATTTATTTATTTATTTATTTATTTATTTATTTATTTATACATTTATATGCCGCCCCATTCGCTGAAGCCTCGGGGCGGCTCACAACATGAAGAAAAATACAATAGTAACAATATAAAAATAACAATATAAAAGAAATAACAATATAAAAGAAGTTGCCCTGGCCAGATAAAATAAGCAAATACTGTTAACAATTAAAATGATGCTTAAATAAAAA